TTTTTGATGATAGCTGGCTTAACAACAACAACAAAAAAAACCTCAATGCCATCAAGTTGATTCTGACTCATAGCGACCTCCTTTGGGTTTTTGAGCTAGTAACCCTTTATGAAAGTAGATTGCTTCGTCTTCCTTCCATGAAGTGATTGGTGGGTTAGATACTCCAGGCTTCTGGTTAACAGTAAAATGCCTTAGGCACTACTCCACCAGAGCTCCTTGATAGGCATCCTAGTATAGGTGAAGTCTCGTTGTGGTTTTGGCTTGCATTTCTCTAATGACCAATGAAAGATCCTTGGTGGCACAACAGTTAAGTGCTGGCTGCTAACAGAAAGATTGGCTGTTTGAACCTACACATTGGCTCCATGGAGGAAAGACTTGGCAATCTGCTGTCATAAAAATTTCAGCCTAGAAAATCTTTTGGAGCAGTTGTACTCTGTTACATGGGGTCACATTATGAGTTGAAATCAACTTGATGACACCTAACAACAGTGACAGTAATGACCATCTTATTCATGTGCTTGTTGGCCATTTGCATTTGTTCTTTGATAACACATCTATTTAAGTCCTTTGCCAATTTTTTTAAGGGATTATTTGTCTTTTTGTTGTTAAGGTGTAGGAGTTATTTATATATTCTGGATATTAAACTCTGACATGATATATTGTTCCCTCAGTTTTTCTCCCAGTCTGTTCACTGGGGTAGGAATTGACTTTTAAGCCAAACCAGTCAAGCAAAGGAAGCAGTAGTATGGCAAAGTTATGGGTGTTAGTAAGAAACTGTAAGAAGGCCAGTGTATATAAAGTATGGTGATCAACGGGGGCAGAGTAGTAGAAGTAAATAAACAAAAATTCATTTGAGACTTCAGAAGCAGTGTTAAGGATTTGGATTTTATATTATGACCATGAAAAACTGTTGGAAGCCATTAAGGGGATTGATATGATCTGACTTATGTTTCAGAAATATCATTCTAGCTGTATAAGGAATTTTAAAAATGATGTATTTAACCAATTAGCATCTGTAGTTTGGAAAGTTCATTTTCATAATAATTGCAGAGTTTTTTCCTATTATTCAGACTTTAAATTAGCAACCCAGAATCGGTGGCATCACTAGGGGGATTTAGGGAGGGTGGACAATACTGGGTGACACTGTGAGAGAGGTGACAGCAAATCCATGTCTATAAAATTTTTGTGCAGTGTTTCAGTAGAAATCTGTTATCTTTTAAATAAAGATATCGCTGTACTTATAAAGTTATAACAACAAAAACATTTTTTAAATATATTTTATTGAAATAGGATTTATGTATAGTGAAATACACAAAACTGAAGTGACATGAGTCAATGTAAAAACATTTTTTTAAGCCCATCTTATACATATCAGTATACCTACAAGGCTAAAACTGTCCTCATTTACTTTTTGAACATTCTGTTGTGCTCTGATTAGAGTTGTCATTATTACCTAATTACAGCAATACTTCAAATCAAGTGGTTTCATCTGCACAAGCATGTGCTGCTGTTTTTGTTGCTGTTGGTATTTTTATGATTGCTGATTTTTGTCAAATTTTCTGGTGTTTAAGTTACAATCCTATTGTAATTAGTATTTGTGAACCTATATCAGTAAGTTTTTTGAGGGTGAAGTAGTAATTAAAGGAAAAGGAGAAAAGTCAGAGAAGACTTCTGCTCAGTTAATAATAATGCTGTAACTCATAATGTAATTCAATGTAGAAAGAGTGTATAAAACAATTTTATTCTTAATATTCATAGACTCTAAGAAATACTGTATTTGATTTTCAGTTATATTACATATTATTCTTTTATTAAAATTGATAGTAAACATTACTAAGGATTCTTCTGTATAGTCTGGTATGGACAAAGGTCTATGGGGGGTGGTGATTCTTTGAGTTGACACATGGGATGACACCAACCCTAATGATGCCACTGCACAGAATTCAGCACATACTTAGGTAGTAACTTAGATTTTGATTCAGGTCTTCTAGACAGTTGTGCAGGGGTGGAAAAAAAGAGCAACATGTTATCTTCTTTGGGACCATATGACATTTTATTTTCAGTTATAAATTCTCCATTTCTGATGGAACACCTTTAAAAAATTACTTCTGTTCCATTATTTGAAATAAGTAGTTAAATAAATATTTGTGAGGACAAACATACAGGCAACTTATGTATTGGGTGTACAGACTAAACTCAACATCTTAAGTAACTCTACAGATGTGAATTCTCTGAGGGTATTATATATGAATTGCGTTTCTTCCTAAAAGAATTCTTACTGATTTATTCTTTCATCTTTTATATATTTTTTTGACATGTGTGGCAACAGTGAAGATAGGCTAATATTGAAAAGTGACTCCTTTAAAGACAAAGTCATTTTACATTAATTAAATGAGAGAAAATGGCAGCTTCCAAGCTTATAGTACTCATTTCTCTTTCTCCAAAATATTTCTATAACCTTGGTATTTGTGGATCTAGTAGACGTGTATTATCTTTTATGTACATTATTACTTTTCCTCATATTAGTATATAGCAAACAGAGGCTCAATCTTAGATTAAAAACTCCCAAAACCAAACTCACTGTACTTTTTTCCTTCTTTTTGATGGCATTTAACATTTTTTTTTCTCCCCCCTCTTTATGTTACATCACTTTTAAGGATTTTATATTGTTGATCATTACCTCTCTTACCCCAAAGTGAGTTCTGCTGGACTGAAAAGAATCTGTTGAGTACACATTTGGTTAATTCAGAGTGGTGAGAATCTTTTCCCATTGTGTGGAGTGGCTCTTAGAAAAGCAGACAAGGAAAGTTGTCATGTATTAGCAAAGGCATTGAGGCTTTCCAGCAAACCTAAGGTACTTATTTCTGGAGTAATGACCATCTTTTGGCTACTGTTTCAATCTTGTTAAACTTACTATGAAGTTTATCTATGCTTCGAGTTTAGGTTGATGTATTACAAATCATTGTATATTTTACCTATGTACCCTAGATTTTTTAAGAGTGTTATTTTAAATACTGTATCCTTCTGTCTTCATATTATAAATACATTCTTATATCAGAAAAAGTGTCCTTTTTCATATTTGTTTCTTGGTTCATATAATACTTGGCCTTAGGCAAATCACCTGATCAGTCTGAATTACTGTTAGCTGTGTTCCATGTTAAAACTTCAGTTTAAAAATACTGTCATGATATTTCTGTGATTTTAGGATAGAAGAATATAGAGTGGTATATCTTAGTTTTTTTCATTTAGAAAATTACAGAATTGATTTTCTTTTCCCAAAATGGTTATTAAATTACTGAATTGATGGTAGACATGATAGTAAGAAGATTCAGCAGTGCTAATAAAGTATTGGGTTGAGGCATGGCAAAAAAAGATTATATTTCTGATCAGAAATGGGCTGTGGAGGAAGTCTTGTATGTTTGTTCTGTGACATCTTGAGGAGGTTTCTGAACTCTAAAACTGTTCCTTATCCATACCTTTCCTACTTACCCATCCTTGACTGCTACCTAATATATAAAGTAGCATAAAGCAAGTGATAGGTTACTTTTCTTAGTTATAATAAACTTATATCAAAACAAATACATTGCAATTATCAAAATACAATACAATTATCAAAAAATAATTGAGCAATGAACAGTACTTAATTTTCTAGGTATATAGCTGATCATGTATTCTTCTTTCGCAGTTTTGAATTTTTAGGCCTGTAATTTTATATTTATTTATTTATTTGTTTGTTTGTTTATTTATTTATTTTTTGGTAGTTGGGGAAAGATGGTTCATGTGAATCTGAGAGAATAGACAAGATTAATAGTTTTGGAATTTAAATTGTAGGGCTGTTTGGTGTTTGAGGGTAAATGAGAGGAAGTTAATTTTATTCTTGATGTTAAGACAGAGGGTAGGTAAAGATTAAGCTGCAGTTTAGCCCAGTGGTTTTTTTTTTTGTTGTTTTTTTTTGGGGGGGGAATATAGTGCAATAGCACATAATCGGGTCTCTTTGTTTTTAAGAATGGCTTCTACTGTATGGGAACTGAGAAAACTTATTACATAATATTCTTCTCAACAAGATTCTTTTCTCTGACTGCCATGAGAAGAAACATAGAAATAGCTTATACAGAATGCTTCTTTGTAATGTTTTATATGGTGTTTTTAGAATTTTATACTATTAGGTGTTTTTGTTAAAGTTGTGGATCTTAAAAGGTGAATTTAGAATGTGTTAGAATATTGAAGTTTTAATAGCCAAAATGTTTAACATTCATTTAATAAAATAAATATTGAGAACTTTCTGATGATTTACGCATAGCATGTTGGTTTATTGTAGGTAGTCAATAGCTGATAGTTCTAGGAAATATGAAGATGACTCTTTTTAAAAGTATCTAACATAAAGGTGGAATCTCTGGGTAGTGCATAGGTTAATGCGTTTAGCTGCTAAGTGAAAGGTTGGAGGTTTGAGTCTATCTAGAGGAGCTTTGGTGGTGTAGGGAGGGCCTAAAGCATTTGACTGCTAACCAGAGGGCTGGCGGTTCAAACACACCAGCCAGTCCTAGGAAGGAAGACTGGGCAATCTCCTTCTGTAGAGATACCGCCTCAGAAACCCAAGGAGGGGTTGCTGTGAGTCAGGACCGACTTGACAGCAGGGAGTTTGGATTTTTTTTTTTTTTTTAAGAGGAACTTCAGAAGAAAGGCTTGGAGATTTTTTCTGAAGAAATCAGCCATTGAAAACCCTATGGAGCACAGTTCTCTTCTGACCTATGTGGAGTGACCATGAGTCAGAAACAACAGGACGGCAACTTTTTTTTCCTTTTTAACATAAAGACACAGATACGGAATTGAATTTAATTAACTGAGAAATGAATCATTAACTTCAAAAACCAAACTCACTGCCATCGAATCAATGAAAAAGGAAAATTACTCAGTAATTTTTTATTATTTTTTTCCCTTTTATTTAATAAGATCTATATAGAAGTGCGATTGTTCTGTGTTTTTTGTTGTATTTCTCCTAGCCGGAGAATTTTCATCCTTGGGCCTTCTCATCATGTGCCCCTCTCTCGATGTGCACTTTCCAGTGTGGATATATATAGAACACCTCTGTATGACCTTCGTATTGACCAAAAGAGTAAGTATATAGAAAGCTTACAGCTTTTAAGTAGCTGAAGTTTTTTAGTAGAAATTATAAGCTAGTTTAAAATTAAAAGTAAAAATATGAATATCATAAGTAAGATCTCAGTTTTTATATAAAATATATTGGCACTAACCTGGAAAAACAGATAAACAAAACTTAAAAAAACAGAAACCAAAGAAAGTAAGTCTCTCACATCCACAAAAGACAATAAGAGCTTTCCTGCAAGCCCAGAAATCTGTTAGATCACTTACATCTGCAGACTGTTTTGGTTACATTTATACTCAGGGAAGAAATAAGAGAATATTGTACCATGAGACAAAAGATTAGTACTTGAACCAACTTGATGAAAGTTTTATCACTTTCCTCACTGTGAATAGTAATGGTGATTATACCTTTATTTCCTTTCATATGATTTCTATGGGAAAAAAATGAGATGGCAGATTGTGAAACTCTCAAAGACAGGTACTACATAAGTTTAATAGGGATTTCATTTTAAAAACTTGTGTATTGTTTCTTTTTCTCATAGGCTTTGAGAAATGACATTTTTTATTGAGATGTGTCTCATTTTATACAATACATATGTGAAGTAAAACTTTTGGGTTTTAAAATACTTTGGGAGGACGAAGGAGTAGAATTTTTAAAATACAGAACAATATGGAGAGTAATGTAATAAATACTCATGTACTTACCATCCATAATTAACTCAGAATTTTTCTCTCATCCTGAGCTCAATTTACCTTCCCAAGTTCATGAAGGTATCTTTTTAGTTCATCAAAGTTTTGAGTATGTTAGGGATGCTTTCATTCAAGAAATTCTGAAGCACTTTTGTAGAATGAAAGAATCCTTTGCAAAGGTAATGATTACTTCCTTTTCCTTATTTTTTAGATCTACATTTTCATAATCTAGAGCTTTAAGTATCATAGGTTATTAGCACTTTTTTGTTAGACTGCATCTTAATAGTGAAGCTGAATTATTACTAGCCTTACTCTCTGGGATAATTTTTGGAACACATTCTTTTTTAAACCTTGTTTGGGCATTTTAAATAATTTAAGTTTTGGATAGCCTACCAGTGAATGAATGGAGGACTTACAACCATGTACAGTTTTGTAAAAGTTTTGTAAAGAGGTCATATCATCAGGTTTCATTCATCAATATTGGTAAACACATTTAAGGATCTAGTTATTAAAATGTTGATTTTGTGCTGTGATTAAAAAATACATACATTCTTAAATCTTTTTTTTTTTTTTTGAAATATTTTATCCTTTTTTTGCTATAAAGTATTCAATTTTAAGTGTAGTTCATCAAAAAGAATTGAGTTAGTCGGTCATTTTAAGTTGGCATGGTAGTGCAGTGAGTTTATGTTGATTTTTCATGAGCTTAATTTTGAATTCTAAAGAGACTAGCATTCTTAATGGGCAGATAGGAATCTGAGGTATGAGATAATAATTCCATACATTTTATTTTTAAAAAAATCGTCAAAGTATGTTAACTTCAGAGTAAATAGACCAGTGTTGTTTTCCATGTTTCAGTAGGAGTTCATCTAGTCAGCAGTGTTTTTACTAGCATGTGGAAGTCAAGAAAAATCCTTAGACCCAGAGGTGATTTTAGAAGTAATGAAAAGAAGTGATGAAAAATTTAATTATTATTTTATATATAACCATGTAATGTATAAGTAAGCCATTACATGTAATACTGTTTTGTCTGGTAATAAAAAGTTACTTTCTTTTTTTCTAAATGAAAATGAAGTAAAAAAGTAGTGCTGTAAATACTATGTAGTGCTCTGTCTCTTGCCAAAGCATGTAGTTATATATTACTGAGTGGAATCTCACAGGCTGAGGATATACATTAATATATTTGTTTTCATATATTTTGAAATTCCTTTAGTTTACGGAGAACTATGGAAAACAGGAATGTTTGAACGCATGTCTCTGCAGACAGATGAAGATGAACACAGTATTGAAATGCATTTGCCTTATACAGCTAAAGCCATGGAAAGGTATATTGATTAATACAAGAAATCACAGAGAAATCATAGATAATTATTTCTTTGGAATTATTTTAACTAGGGTAAGATAATCATTAGGGTAAAAATATTCCAAATTTTTTTTTTTTTAATCTGAAATGAAATAAAAATATAAGATTAGAATTTCTTAATGTGAGTTGAAATTAGTTTTGAGAAGTTTGCCTATGAAGGCTGAACACATCAGTTGACATGGTTGTTTTATTAGGTGGAAATTTAAAAAAAAATCCTGTGTGTGTATTTACCTGGTATTTTATTAAATTGATAATGTCTTCTTTAATTCAGAATAATAATTAAGTTCTTCTATGTTATAGTGCTAATTAAAATATTTTAGATTTGGAAGTAACTTTGCAGGTCATTTATTTCAACTTTATACAAAATATATGGATCTCTAATATGCTTGATAGATTATTATTTGTTATCTGCTAAAGGTTTTCCAATGATGTGGTACTCATTAGATAGACTGTGCTCACTAGACTAAAGTGAGGATAGTGACAACATCTATTTTGGTCTCTACTAATATCCACCAGTGCCTAGAAAATGCCCAATGCTTAGTAGACTTCACTTTATTTTGATAAAATGAAAAAAACTGTTTCAAGAGCTCTCTTCTATAAAAGGTAGCATGTAAAACTAAAAAATATTCTCTGTCTAGGTTATATTTATTTCACCTTTTATATGGGCTTAATATTTCGTATATAGTCTGGCTAGTTCTAAATATGGTGGGATTATTTCTTACATGGATCTGAATACTATAGTCTCTTAGTAACATACATTAACTTTTTTTTTTTTTTTTTAAATGCTGCTGTGGCTTACTGTTGGCTAATGTTCTTCTTGTGAGCAACTAGACCCCAAGGCCTTTTCATACTCGGATAGATTACTTTCTCATCTTATACTTTGGTGATTGAATTCTTTTGAACCCTAATTGTGTATCTTTCCTAAATTATTTCTAATTTTTTTTGGTTGAATTTCATGATTGCAATCTTTTTTTTTTTCAATCATTTTTACTTTTAATTCAGTATTCAACGTATTATTTACCTCTCTGTCTTTTTATTCTCATCTGTTCATACTAAAGAAGGTTCCAAAGTCAGAGTGTGATATTAAATTACGAGCAGTATAATTTAGGTTAGTTGTGTTTCTATTCATTCTAATTTTTCCAAAATTGTTAAGTCATATATATTGCTTATTTCCCAGAATGTTGATATAATCAGAATATCCCATTCTCCAATCATATAATAGGTATTTCTGTTGTTGGCTGAAATGTTTACATAATCTACATATATATATATATATATATATATATATA